TAAACTCCGCCACTAGAGGGCAGTCTAATGCAGAAATAAAGCCACAACAGTGAAGAATGAGTAGATATATAAGTTATGTTGCATTTTAAAATTCTTTGTCAAGCTCTTAGGCATTTTAGGTGATCATTTTCTGTTCTTTAAACTCATCCATTCATTGATATGTAGATAATTTATAAAGTAAAAATTAAAGTGCAAAGTTCTAGTCAGTGTGAAGGAATTATTAGACTTGGCAACATCCAATTTCATGTGACAGGAAGACCAATCAAAGGCCGTGTTTCTGCTTGAAGCGGCGCTGCGCAAACCGATTGGTGGAGAATGACATCAAAGCACCGCCAGAGGTTCTATTTAGAATGTGGAGCATTCGGCAATCTGATAGGTGTAGCGGTGCTTTGATGTCACACCGAAACACACCTACACAACAGTGTTCCCGCCCTGCACCGCGTGCTGAGTTGATGCTCTTCAGCATTATAGGACGAGAAGTTTAGAGAGAATTACAGTAAGTGTGTTTTTATCACTTTGTTTAGACTAAATCAGTGATGTCTGCATTGACCTTTGGATAAATAAAAGCTGAAATATCAAGCCAAACTCTGTCTCAAACTTATTTGTCACCATTGTAGACCCTGCTTGCATATTTTTGCTGTGGTTGGCAGTTATTTTATGCATAGTGTATTTTGTTTTTTTACTGATGCAGAGAAACGTGATACAAATACGCCTAAAAGTGCAGCATTGTGAGCATAGACAGAGGATCATCAAATAAATGGAGAACATTCAAATAGAAACTGGCATAGACCGTCTTTAGACATGGCAAATAAGATATTTTGTTATAGGCTGATGCAGCTTTTTAATAAACAACTTTTTGCCAGTACTGATATGTGTCAGGGGAAAATGATCAACACAAACACAACTTATTTTATGCTTGAGCAATCCAAAATTTTAATTAGACCAATATATACTTGTTTAACAATGATAAACAGACAAGAAAGTGACAATATACATTAAAAAAAACAAATAATAATACTAAAAACACACAGACACCCATTTAAAAATAGGATATGCTTATTTAAATTATAAAAATAAACAGTTACAGTACACCTCTTAAATTCTGATTATCTGTAAATGCAACAGAAAAGTAGTACGTTGTTTGTATTTATCTAGATTAATGTCTATGCAAGAAATTTGCTGGAACAGAAAGACAAAGATCACAATGAGTATAACGATTAAAGTAATCATAAAGACTTCATGATTATTGACTGTGACCTGCTGCGTTTATCTAAACAGCTGGCAGTGCTTAATAATAATGTTACATCAAGTTCTTTAGATTTGTGAGGAGAAGAAATGCATTTTATTTATTTTTACAGGATAACATCATGTGTGGATGCTCTGAGAGTTTTTTTTAAAGATACCAGTTTTAATAATCAATATCTTCCTCTTGTTCCCTTGAACCTTTTAAATGAAACAGATCACATTTTTAAGCTTTTTTTTTTTACATTAGCAGAGTTTGCTAGCTAAGTTAGGCCCATTTAATATCATGTTAATCAATAGATGTTGAATTATGCAAGACATTATGCAACACACCGCCTGTAGCTTACTATCATTTTTATGTCTCCCTTTCACATGCTATAGCCAAATAAGTCTAAAACTAGTGCTGCTGGCCGATATCGCAAAAAAAAAAAAAAAAAAATGCCATGTTTCATATCATTCAATATAGATAATTATTTAATATTTTTAACAACACATTCAAGAATATTAGGATTTTTTTTATTTATTAAACCACTTCATTTTAATTTACCAACATTACTGAAGCAAAATTTAAAAGATTTTTAATTTAATAGTAAAAAACTAAAATATTTAAACTAAATCTCTGATCTGATTATAATAAAATACACATAAGTGTTAAACTTGATCAATAAAATGTTACAAAGTGTGTGCAATGGTAAAGCTAGACCAACATCTGTAAAGTGTAAATAATGATGCAGTAAACCTTTAAACAAACTCTTTAAACAAAACTAATTATGATCATCAGATCTAAGCTTTCAAGTAAAGAAACCAACACCATTATTCAAATACATGCTGAACATTAATATAGTGAATTTGAATGACTACATTACCCACGATGCTAAAAAAAATCTTTCAGAAGGGGAGCTGGTGCACAAGAAAAGAAACCAAAAAGCCACTCTGGTGAGCTCCTTACATCCTTTTTTAACACAATCTCCTCACTGCTGCTGTCTGGCACTCATTTTCACATGTGTTGTTATTCTGACCTGAAGTGACAAGCGTGAGTGCATGCTTTCCTTCACCATTTACTACGGCGTCTCTCGTAACTAGAGGACTGTTTTCTCAGAGGATGCCAAACAGAGAAACCGGTCATGATCACCAGCGATCTAACCACCAGAGATTGCTGAAAAACATTCACACTCATGTAGGAGTACAAATCTGCTGAACGCAGCTCCACGCTCCAGGTACACTTCCGTTGCATGGTCCTGGAGCGTGGAGCTGCAGAGGGCCTGGCGCTGCATTCAGAAGATTTGTAGTCCTTTGTGAGTGTGAATGTTTTCCAGCGATCTCTGGAGGTTAGAATGCTGGTGATCGTGACAGAACCATTGCTGCAGCTCCAATGCAAGTTTATGGAGAGAATTAAAAAGCACTGCAGTGTTTGTCTCAGGTAATTAGTCTGCCGTTACTGAAATATGTAATTATAAAAATAATAATAAATGTATTTTTTTTCTCAGACTCAAAGCGCTAAGAGCATCAGAACACAGTGAAACATGAAATACAGAAAATAAAAAATACAGATCAAAAGAAAGCAATAATAAAACAATGAGTTTTAGGACGTTTCTTAAAACAGTCCAGGGAAAGGAAAGCTTTTGCAATAGTTCTACCGGGAAGACTGAGATGTCACGTCATTCATAATAATTATCTCGTCAGCCTATAACAACCAAGCAAGCCATGCGTATAAGCTCATCTAAACAATCTGTTTCGCTGTATTCAGGTGACGTTGCGAAAGTTTCCCTCCATCCTCCTCATCACCACCACCACCTCCAGGTCAGCCTCGTCTCCACTCAGGGGGTTGGCTTCGCCCTGCCTTCATCTTCAGGCAGGATCTGCCAGCTCATCCAGAGTTCTGCACTATATACGGGGCTTACGCCAAAGAACTTTATGGAAGGACCGTAACAAATTCACATTCATGCAAACAATTCACAGTAAATGTTCAAACGTTTTTCTGCCTCCTAAAGTCTTTCTGGTAGAACTGGCGTTCCTGATGTTTGTGGGAAGAGCATTCCAGAATTTAGTTGCACAGTTTTTTTTCCCCAATTTCTGTTTAACGGAGAGCAGATTTTTTCAGCACATTTCTAAACATATTAGTTTTAATAACTCATTTCTAATAACTGATTTATTTTATCTTTGTCATGATGACAGTAAATAATATTTGACTAGATATTCTTCTAGAGATTTCTACACAGCTTAAAGTGACATTTAAAGGCTTAACTGGGTTAATTAGGTTAACTAGGCAGGTTAGGGTAATTAGGTAAGCTATAGTATAACTATGGTTTGTTCTGTAGACTATTGAAAACAAATATAGCTTAAAGGGGCTAATAATATTGAACTTAAAATGGCTTTTAAAAAATTAAAAACTGCTTTTATTCTAGCCGAAATAAAACAAATAAGACTTGCTCCAGAAGAAAAAATATTATCAGACATACTGTGAAAATATCCTTGCTCTGGTAACTACATTTGGGAAATATTTAAAAAGGAAAATACATTCAAAGGGGGGCTAATAATTCAGACTTCAACTGTGTCATATTCCATACAATGTGTGAAGCAGATCGGTTAGTTCTACTTGCATGAATCGCAGTGCGCTCGCGGCATTCAGAGAAGTTCAGGGGCTTCATGTATCAACGCTGCGTACGCACAAAAACTTTGCATACGCCAGGTTTCACGCTCGGAATCGCTCACGTTTGGATTTACTAACAATAAACTGAACGTGGGAATGTGCGCAGCTTCACGGCAGCTTCATGGCTGGCGTACGCACATTTTTTGTGCGTGTCTGTTTTATTTCCATTGGTGACTCCTGGAGGCAGTTGTGTTAAATTCCTCTCTACAAAGTGTCTGAGCCTTGCAATGGCAGCTGTATGAGACGGGTTCATCTAGCAGGTATATAAGGTTTCCATACCATACAGTTGACCAGCCAAACATTAAAGCGCAATTTGCAGCGGTCGCCTGTTTTCCCAATGTAATCTGAGCGATCTACTGCACGCACATTGCTATAAAGACACTATCTGAAGATGAATTTGCATGCGTGAATCAGAAATATTTCCATTCAATAAATGTGCAAATAAAATATGATGCACTGACTTATTAATGATTCCTACTTGTCTTTCTCGTGATAAATAGTAGGCAAAATCTGATATGTAGCGGGGGAAAAAAGAAGAAAGAGTTCACCAGACGCTGGATTCGAGCCGACTTCATGCTCGAACATGTCAATACATGATCACATGTGTCCTATGAGGCGCGCCACTGAGACAGTTAAGGGTACTGCAACACTTTACAGATATAAACCACACTATTTCTTTTTTTAATGCACTCAGTGCGATGTTCAGACCCAACTGTGTTGACCGCATCAGCTAAACTCTCCCACTCTATTTTTTTCTTTTGTTGTTAATTCCGGAGAACAAACTTGCAAATAACACCGCTTTTCTCCGGTCTACCTCTGAAAGCAGCACCTCCAATTCACATTCTGTTCAAAGTTTCTCTTCTTGCTTGCTTTTGCCGTTGCTTTTTCGTTGGGTTTTTCCATTAGCATAGTCATTAGCATATTCATACGGGGGAGGAGGCAGGGAGGGGTTTTGTGCTCGTGCATGTTGCGCTCAGCTTCACGTTCATTCAGATGTACAAAAGAATATGCGTGAGATTCGGCGTACGCAGTGTTTCATACATCTGAAATTTTTTCTGCGTACGCACATTTACAGCTTTGTGCGTACGCAATGTTTTAGTAAGATTTCCACGCAAGTCTTCGTACATGAGGCCCCAGATGTTTTTAACTAGGTGTGGCAGGAAAATGCGTGTGTCACATGCGCGCAGCTTGCACACCATGTGCACATCACTTCTTGTGCACATCGTGCAAGTCACGCACCTCCATCGGAAATGACCAACTGACACCCTAAGCTTATTGGCACTGCATTGGCGCGCGCTCAGCAGCTACACTTTTATAAAACTATAGCGCTTCATACAAAAAGTTCCTACCAAACTATTTTATTATCGTTATTGACAATAGTGTTTGGTTAGAAATACTGCCCAGCCCTACCTAAAACAAAAAGTGTTTGACAAATATCTTTTGAAGTTAGCCTTAACGCAGTAAATGCTAATGGGTAAAATTAATGTTAATGAATTATTCATGTTTAAAGTAAATGTATCAAATGTGAAAACCCCAATACTATTTCATGTACATTTCATCTACACTGTCAGATCACAGATCTTCATTTTTGAAGGGTTATTATGTCCTAATCCAGGATAGAGTGTGTGTGTGAATGTGGTGTGGAGTGTGTGTATGAGACTCATTGTTGTGTCAGAGACGCTGTAGAAGGACAGAGTTCCTGCACTGTGATCCACATACACTCCTATTCTAGAGGAGCTGACGGAGGGTTTAGGGAGATCAGTCTTTATATTATTATGCCTGAATGATAAACTATAAGGAGAGCAGAACAAACTCCAGGACTGATCATTGTTTCCAAACAGACACTCATTACTGTTTCCCTTTCTCTTGATGCTCTTATATGACACTGATATAAATCCACCATTACCACTCCACTCCAGCTCCCAGTAAGAGCGTCCACACACTCTCTCTCTACACAACACCTGATGCCAATAATCAAATCTGTCTGGATGATCAGGATAGGACTGGGCAAAGCCATTCATTTCAGCCACCCTGTTTCTTTCAGACAAGAACAGCAGGTTATTCGCTGTGTTTGGATCCAAAGTGAGCCGTTGATAATCTAATAAAGATAAAAGAAGATTTCAAAGTCATCAGTATGCAGTTTTAACTAATGTTTTTCTGCCAAAACCAAACCTACAGTGACTGAATTCAAGATTGATTTGTGCAGATTGAATAATCAAAAAATTTTTTTGTACGTGTTCAGTATAATCAGTAGGGCTGTAATGATACACGATATGAAATCGAAATCGCGACACTCATATCTATGATCCTGCGTCGCGATGTGATAAGGGAGAATCGCGACAAACCCCGTGACTACCTTTCCAATAACGTCTTGCGTGCTGCCTGCAAAAGTTGAGCTAATTGAAGAAGAATGTGAGGAAACACTTTTTTTTCCGCTCGACATTACGAGCACTGCTCCGTTTAAGCCCTCGCAATATGCGTTTAGCCGGGAGAGCTCGCACGGAGCTCTCGTCTGAATGTGTCAGGAATATCAAAAACAAAACCAACTTAACCCCGCTTGTCAACAGACAACGGCAGAAACATTGCCAATGCTGTCAAAGCGGCCGGATTTTCAGCGCATATACGATGCTTTGCTCACACTGTTAATGTGGTTGCGCAGAGAGGGATGGGCGTTCACCAGATCTCCCGACTCCTCTGCAGAGTAAGGAAAGTTGTCACGTTTTTTCACTGCAATGTTGACATGATGGTGTCTCTGAAGAATTTTCAACTCCCTTAAATCAAACGAGTTTGGTTTTCTTGAGAGAAATAAGTTGTTTATTTGTTTAATGTTTACTTGATTTGTGGTTTGGAGCACAGGCATTAAGCCTCAGTTACCTCAGTGTGAAACAGTAACCGTACGTTCACACCGAAAGCGGCGAGAGCGTCAAAGTAGCCGGGAGTCATTCATTTTCAATGAGAGCCGGCGGCGATAAGCGGCGAGGAGCAGCGCGGCGCATCTTCGCCGGCGTGAGCGTCGAGGAGAGTTGAAATGAAGTCAACTTTATGGTAATGAGCTATGACGCGGTTCGGCGGCAAGCAATCAGAATGAAGACGTCCACCTCTTGATAGCAGTTCAGAGAACACAGACCTGTGAACTTTGGTTCCGACAACAGTTGTTCCCAAGGGTTTGATTATTTCGGTCGCCGGATTTCCAATTATTTACAATTTTATTATACAAATTTATCTTAAAAAAGCGGGAATCTCACGCGATGTGACAGTACAAAACAGTACTGCTGCTTCAGGATATTTCAGACATATGGACACATATTGGATAAATAGAGCAAAGCCACACCACACGCAACATGATCTTCCATTGTTTTATGAATTTGATAAGAAGTGCGCAACATTTTCACGCTAGAAATATGTTTTATGCAGGAATGTAACTGATATGCTGCAACGGCTCCTTTAAGTACGAGATCAATGTAGCGAGTTTTGACGCTCTCGCCGCAGGAGCTGAAGGCAGAGAGCGTTGTCGCCAGGGCGGCCAGAGCGACCTTGGACACTCTCGCCGGTTTCGGTGTGAACGTACGGTAACTGTTAGCCAAAAGGTAAGTGAATTATAACAGCGCAAACTTTTCTGTAACCGTGCTGTGCACTTTCTGTTTAACCCTTTGGGAGTTGATGTTACGTGCTGACTGACAGGTGCGCGATGCGTGAGGCCAGGAAACAGGACGAAGCTTTCAGTTAAGATGAACACAGTTTCTATAGTTATACTTTATTTATAGATAAAGGTAAATGACTCTGCATATAATCACTCTATCATGCTGGAGTTTATAGCCGTTTCGCTTTACTTCAGGACACATTAACGCCGCTCTGAAGGTCTAATCGCTGTTTTAAGTTATCCAGAGCTGTATGAATGTACAAATCTTGAATATCACAATAGTATTAACTATTACAATTGTAACAACACAGACAGCAACACTTTTGCACAATTGATACCCAGCTGATTCAGTCGTTTCATAAGAGGACAGCGCCTCTTCTCTTCTTTTTTCCTTGTCAACATAAAGGCAGTGAGGTGCGCCTTGTTTTCAGCCCCTTGTTCAACTGCAAGACATATTTAACTTGCGGGAGGATAACGTATAACCCGTGCCTACAGACACATTTGCCAAAGAAGAAAAATGGAAGAAGAATATTGCTGTTTGATACAGACGTGTTGATGCTAACCAGCAATGATGTTGACCTGGATCTGCGTCATAAACGCAACAAATAGGCTTTACTTTTAATTTTACAGCTTATAAAGCATGTACGCAGATTAATGCAATATCATATTTAAACAACACAACTGTTTACAAAAAGTCAATATGCCTTTTCATCACGCAGCGCGCGCACTTGATCCGCAAGGGAGAGAGAGGAAACCATATCAAGACATAATCTTTAAAATAATGATTTCTATTAAAAATGTTAAAGGTTTTGTGATTATAATAATAACAGTGGGGCATTAAATAAATGCATATTTTCCGTGGAGCGAGCGATTTGAGGAAGTCTGCGATTTTTATTTGACGGAGGAAAAAAACATATGATTGGAAAAAAACAGCCTATGCCTATCATTTTGTAATATAAATTAATTATTTAAGCGAAAATAATTTAGGGCAGTCCTATTTATTTTATTCATTTTATTTAGATTATTCTGCTCTTCTGTGCTAAAACTGCAGGTGTGTGAAGATGCTCTGTTGTTCTGTTCTGTTATTAGTATGCTAGCATATAAAAATAAATCAGTATTTTAAAATGCAATATTTAATGTGTCAGACACAAAATAGACATGTCAATTAGTTTAATATAAAATTAATAGTAATCTGACCCATCTAACCATTAATAACCGAGAGCTGCGGTTGTCGGTTAGCAAAATTAACCGAATTGAGCATCCCTAGTAGCCATTTAATTTACTTTTTCTATAGAGAACTTGATTGAAAAAGAATTTTCAACATGCTTGAACCATCTACACAATGGAGTTTAGTTCTGTTTGGTTTTTCAACAGTATTTTGTTACAAAGAAAACAAAAGTGATATAGCTTTGGCTATTTATTTATTTTATATATGGCTATTTATATTGTTAATAATTTGCTTAGTTAATATTGTTATTTGATGTTCAGTTTATAAAGATTTTTCAAATGTTATTTAATAAAAAATTGTTTTAAAAATTCTTTTTTTCCCACCCCACACGAAAAAAATAAATAAATTGTGATACGAACCGAATCGTGGGTCAAAAATCATGATACGAACCGAATCGTGGGTTTGGTGTATCGTTACAGCCCTAATAATCAGAGTGACTTACACTGGAGGAACTGCTCACGGGTCTGTGGTTCAGGAGTGGGAATGATGCTAATGCTGCTCACTGTGGAGACAAACAAATGCATAAAACTAAATACTGTAAAATATTAAACTCTAATTTTAGAATCTTTTATAAAGCATTCTGCTCTACATTATTTATTATGATACACATTAGGAAAAATGGAGCTTACATCTGCTAGATATCAATTTTATCTCCTCTCTGCCGAAATGCACCAGATCATCTCTCAGGCGAGACACAGATTCAGCGATTTCATCAAAAACAAGTGGAGAGCTGCTAATAAAGCTGGATGAGTCTGTAGATCCAGGAGGGACAGAGAGAGACTGCAAACTCTACACAGACACAACAGAAACAGCAGCTGAAGACACACAAACACAATCTCTGCTCCACATGCTCTTCCACTGTCCTGTGTGTCACCTGGAGGAAATGGATGTGATCTTCTGTGTGTGAAAGCTGCTCCAGCTCAGCGTTTCTCCTCCTCAGATCATTGATCTCCTGCTCCAGTCGCTCCAGTCGTTCTTCAGCTCCACTCACTGCAGTCTTTTCTCCATCTCTGATCATCTGCGTGAGCTCCGAGCGGCTTCTCTCAATCCAGCAGATGAGCTGAGTGAAGATCCTCTCGGTGTGGTCCACTGCGGCCTGTGCAGAGCGCTGTCACACACACACACACACACACACACACACACACACACACACACACACACACAGAAGCATTGGAGTGTGAAAGGCCTCTTCAGCTGCTGTTCTTCTGCTCAAACTCACCTTGTGAGACTCCACAGCCTCTCTCAGCTCCTCCAGCTCCATCTTTCTCTTCAGGAGTGTCTGCTGGAAACTTCTCTGGGTTTCCCTCAACTGACTCTGCAGGATTCACAGTTAAAAGCAAACATCACTGCAAAGTCGTGATTATGAATGGGAATCTCAGGACTTTCTTTAGGTGTTCATGAGAAAACACATTGGATGCAGTAAAGTGCATTAGTGCAGCTAAATGTTCAGAAATGCTTGTTTCGGAATTGTTTTCCTCATTTATTTCTTTCTAAAGGATGTTTTTTCAAGTTGCTGAAACAGTCAATTATTATTTTTTTAGTGGAGAAGATTGTACAAGAAAAAAAACATTTGCAACAGTTGTCTACAACCTATTTCCATCCAACTAATCATTTACAGTTGAACTGGTCTGCATGATGACACCCCGATTGACAAAAGGGTATTGCATATGTTTTGGTATCGCAACATGAATTTGCCCTTCAGCCATTTCCAAACTGCATTTTGTTTATTCCAGTGTTCCATCTGGACGAAATCCTCATTGTTCCTTCAGGGTTGAGCTATTGATCGTCTTGTATCAGTACCCTGGCATAGACTTTTTCAGGGTGGCTGAGAAGTGTGATGCCCTTTAAAACACCGTCAGGTCACCTTCTCAAAAACGGGGACTATCACATCAGCTGTCCAGTCCAGTCCGAGGTATAGTACTCAACCAAGACAGCCCCACAACATCCAGAGACTAGAGGTTCACAGGGGAGATCCTCTCATATACCAGGAAATATCCCAACACTGGGCAGCTATAAGCAAGCTCACATGGGCTGCCACCTCTCACTGTGTGAGCACTGACATACCAACTTCTACTCCAGAGTCCAGGGGCCTCATGTACGAAGACTTGCGTGGAAATCATACTAAAACATTGCGTACACACAAAGCTGTAAATGTGCGTACGCAGAAAAAAATTCAGATGTATGAAACACTGTGTAGCTGCCGTCAGAAGCAATTCTTATATATTACACTCTATAAACATAAACTTTACATTTAAAAAAGTCAATAAATAGTTAAAATGTTCAGAGTAATCATTTAGAATAAATAAGTCATGTATATTTGTTGTTAATGCATGTTAATTCATTTAAAGTTATTTAACTAAAACTATAAGGGGGAGGGGGGAACCTTTTCTTGTTACGTTTACCTTGGGAATTATTTCATTGTTGCAATCAAGATATTCTTCCATTGCACTACAAGTGGTACAGTCACAAGGTGCTGTGTTAAAACACATTTTTAAGGTTTAAGAAGTGCAAAGAAGTTTGTTTAAGAGAAACTGCAACCCTTCAAGTTTATTCCTCTTGAGTTAGAGAGGCCAATGAGGTATGTGTCGTATGGTGTTAACGTATGTGAACATGTATGATTATGTGTCCGTATGTAATGTATAATTAGCCAAGTAAGTGTATTTCTTTACATGTTGAATGTGCACTTTATCTTTACACACTGCTTACGCCGAATCTCACGTATATTCTTTTGTACATCTGAATGAACGTGAAACTGAGCGCAACATGCACGAGCACAAAACCCCTCCCTGCCTCCTCCACCCGTATGAATATGCTAATAAATCTACTTTGGCAAAACCCAACAAAAAGCAATGGCAAAAGCAAGCAAGAAGAGAAACTTTGAACAGAATGTGAATTGGAGGTGCTGCTTTCGGAGGTAGACCGGAGAAAAGCGGTGTTATTTGCAAGTTTGTTCTCCGGAATTAACAACAAAAGAAAAAAATAGAGTGGGAGAGTTTAGCTGATGCGGTTAACACAGTTGGGTCTGAACATCGCACGGAGTTAATTTAAAAAAATTGTGTGATTTATAGGTGTAAAATGTTGAAGTGCTCTTAACAGTCTCAGTGGCGCAGCTCGAAAAACGCATGTGATCATGTATTGACACGTTCGAGCATGAATTCGGTTTGAATACAGCGTCTGATGAAGTCTTTCTCATCCACCTCCCCCCACCCCCCCGCTACATATCAGATTTTGCCAACTATTTATCAGGAGAAAGACAAGTAGGAATCATTAATAAGTCTGTGCATCATATTTTATTTGCACATTTATTGAATGGAAATGTTTCTGATTCACGCATGCAAATTCATCTTCAGATAGTGTCTTTATAGCAATGTGCGTGCAGTAGATAGCTCAGATTACATTGGGAAAACAGGCGACCGCTGCAAATTGCGCTTTAATGTTTAGCTGGTCAACTGTATGGCATGGAAACCTTATATACCTGCTAGATGAACCCGTCTCATACAGCTGCCATTGCAAGGCTCAGACACTTTGTAGAGAGCAATTTAACACAACTGCCTCCAGGAGTCGCCAATGGAAATAAAACAGACACGCACAAAAAATGTGCGTACGCCTGCCATAAAGCTGGAGCTGCGCACATTCCCACGTTCAGTTCATCGTTAGTAAATCCAAACGTGAGCAATTCTGAGCGTGAAACCTGGCGTACGCAAAGTTTTTGTGCGTACGCAGCGTTGATACATGAGGCCCCAGCTCTTTTTGAGAAGATGTGTACCAGAGCCCAAACTGCATGGAGGTGAGTCTGACTATGTCTAGTCGGTCTCCTTTAACCTCCCGCATAAGCTCAGACTCCTTCCCACCCAATGAGGTGAGATTCCCTGTCACAAGAGCCAGTCTCAGTGTCTGAGGATCAAGTACGCATGGCTCTGACCATAAACTAACCTTCTACAATGTATCCTCGCTGCAGCCTGTAGTACTGGATGTGGTCCAAAATGTAGTGGACACCCATTTGTAAGTGGTTGTTGCTAGAAAGAAGAAATATTTTTGTTCCTGTTCAAATTACATATTACATTGTGTGTTATTAACATCTACACCTACCCAAACCCTTAAGCCGAACTCATGTTGGCATGTTTGTTATTGTACAGTTCGTAATGGACCTGATCCAGTACATCATTGCACTACAGACTGCAGCGAGGACCTTGCAATGCACCGGCTCCTTTCGGCTCCACTTGCAGGTGGTGAACAGGAGGTTAATGATGCAAGCTGAGATTGCATCACTCAGCGATGCAATGTCAGACACAATGCACTCAATGGAGTGAGTGACATCACTATTATGGGTAGGGTTAAGGGTGGGGTTAGGTGAGCGGATTAAAAAGCATTGGATGCAGCTCAGATTGCACTGCACCGAGTCTGCAGCCAGACCCTTCTCTGATGGCCTGATGTGACGTCAGGATGTAAAATTAGTTTGCTATTTCAGGAGAGGAGCCAAGACTTAAAGACTAACAAATAAATAAATAATAATAATAATTAATAATAATTAATAACAATAATAATAATTAATAATATATTAATAATAATAATAATATAATAATAATAATAATAATAATATAATAATAATATAATTATAATATTAATAATTAATAATAATAATAATTAATAATATATTATTAATAATAATATAATAATAATAATAATTAATAATAATAATAATAATTAATAATATGTTAATAATAATAATAATAATAATAATATTATAATAATAATTAATAATATATTATTAATAATATAATAATAATAACATAATAATAATAATAATAATAATAATATAATAATATAATAATAATAATATAATAATAATAATTAATAATAATAATAATAATAATTGTTGGCAACAAATAGAGTACATATAGATATTGTACACCTTAATCAAATGAGTTGCTTGTGAGTTCGACCTAATTAGTCCTATATAGTTTAGTTTAAACCATTTTTATTGTTTATGTTATAGTGTTACCAGTCCTTACAAAACACTACGAAATTATAAATGGCATGATTGAGACAAAAACAACTTTTAATGTGGAAAATACCTAATATAATGTGTTGCAGTGTCACGTTCCATGTAGTGTTATGAGTTATTTCTTCCCTAGGGATGACATTAACCCAATCTCCAGAACATTGACTGACGTGCTCTGTGATGTAGCTTCTGTATGCTGAATTAATGCTAAATTTGGGATTCTTCGAAAAAGGCATTTGTCAAACAATAATCTGTTGAACACACTGTGCTTTAGTCCCTCATTTAGGTGCTTTCATTTCAGTCAATCATTAATATGACACCACCCTGACCAAAGTCTATTACACATGTCTGTTGGAGAGAATATCAGAAATACAGTTTTAAGTATGTGCGCTGTACGAAACTATCGATATACAAAGTCATTATTAATAATTGAGCATAAGTGAGTTCTTACCTGTTTTTCAGCTCTCTCTACTTCAGGTAAAACAGTGTCATGGTGTTTGTGTTGATCCAGCATACACATATAGCATATACAGCACTGATCAGTGCGGCAGAAGATCTCCAGGAGTTTCCAGTGTACTAGGCAGATTCCCCTCTGAGCCACAGAAACACTGGATTCTGCCATTATACTGCTCACACTCACAGACGGAGAGACACACCAACACAACACACAGATGACTGCTTACTTTCTCTCAACATTTCCTGCTTTTGGACAGTGGGAAGGTGAAAGGTGCACCCAATAATATGTTTCCTGGACACAATCCAGAGTAAACAATCCAAGTGAAGCGAACCATATATGGATAATGACGCATCCCTTTAGGTGTATACGAGCTAATCCCAAAAATTTTTGATAAGGTTTACACTTTATTAGGTACACCTTACTTGTACTCTGTTGGACCCATTTTTGCCTTCAGAACTGCCTTAATCCTTTGTGGCGTAGATTCAACAAGGAACTGGAAATATTCCTCAGAGATTTTGCTTCATATTGACATGATAGCATCACACAGTTGCTGCAGATTTGTTGGCTGCACATCCATGATGCCAATCACTATTTGTAATGTTGCAGTATGTATTTGCATAATGATGTTCCTTTACTTGAAAGCTCAGATTTGATGATCATAATTTCTTATATTTACAGAGTGGGAGGTTTACTGCATCATTATTATTCACACCTTAAAGTTTGCTTTGATTGTTCAGCGTTTGCACTTTACCATTGCACACACTTTGTAACATTTTATGATCAAGTTTGAGAGTCTCTTTAACCTTTATATTTATTTTATTACAAAGAGATCAGGGGCTTCATGTATCAATGCTGCGTACTCACAAAAACTTTGCGTACGCCAGATTTCATGCTCATATTTGGATTTACTAACGATGAAATGAACATGAGAATGTGCGTCTGTCCATGCCAACTTCATGCCTGGCCTGGCGTACTGTACGTTCATTTCTTGTGTGTCTGTTTTATTTCCATTGGCAACTCCTTGAGGCAGTTGTGTTAAATTGCACACTACAAAGTATCTTTGAGCCTTGTAATGGCAGCTGTATGATGGGTTCATCTGAATGTCTAGCAGATATGCAAGGTTTCCATACCATGCAGTTGACCAGCCAAACATTGAAGTGCAATTTGCAGCGGTCGCCAGTTTGCCTAGTGTAATCAGAGCGATTGACTGCACGCACATTGCTATAAAGACACCATCTGAAGACGAATTTGTTTAGGTGAATCAGAAACATTTCCATTCAATAAATGTGCAAATAAAATATGATGCACAGACGTATTAATGATTCCTACTCGTCTTCCTCGTGATGAAGAGTAGCAAAATCTGATATGTAGCGGGGGAAAAAAGAAGAACGTCTTCAGCAGACGCTGGATTCGAACCGGGTTCATGCTCGAATGTGTCAAAACATGTTGCCATGCGTTTTACAAGCTACGCCACTCACGCTGTTAATGACACTACAAAACATCCCACTCAGTGCGATGTTCAGACCCAACTGTGTTAACCGCATCAGCTAAACTCTCCCCACTCTATTTTTTTCTTTAGTTATTAATTCCGGAGGACAAACTTGCAAATAATGCCGAGTTCAGACTGCATGATTTTCAAAGTAGTCGTGTCACAGATGTGTTCACACTGCATGACTATCTGGGCTAGCGTTTCGTCGCTGCGTTGTTTACACTGCAAGATGGATCGGCGACAGGGACTTTCACATTGCATGACTACTATAGGAAGAATCACAGACAACTTCGTCCAAACTACGTCGCACAGCCAAAAACACGTCGTATATCTTTTGTTATTAACTACATAATGAGAAAGAAGCCTTTAATGGGGTAGAACATGTACATGGTTGCTCACCTGGGTTTAAAGGGAATTAGCCATTTCTCCCCAACATTGATAATAAACTAATTTCTTTCTGTATGAAACGTCAAACAGACACGGGTGCTCCTGAGTCCTGTCAAACCTCCACTAGTTTTTCCTCCATTTCGTGGGTCCAAATAAATCGAAAATGAGCGCTTTTAACTTCTCCCCCAGCCTCCCGCTGGCCTGCAGCAGGTATACACACACGCACACGCAAGTGAATGCCGCTCTCTCATTGGCTGCAGGTGATCGCTGATGTTATTTTCAGTCAAAACTCAATTCACACGGCATGATTTGAATCGCTGACAGCTCCAGATATTCAGCACGCCAAATATCTCACAGGCATCGGTGACTCATCGGCGATTCTCTCAGATCACGTCTTTGATAGTTCATAGTGTGTGATTGTCACTCACGTGCACGAGCAGCGATTTGCCTGTGATTTCAGGCATTTGTAGGGGATTTCTCAAAACCTGTCGGCGAGCTAAAATCACGCAGTCTGAACTAGGCATAACACCGCTTTTCTCCGGTCTACCTCTGAAAGGAGCACCTCCAGTTCACATTCTGTTCAAAGTTTCTCTTCTTGCTTGCTTTTGCCGTTGCTTTTTCGTTAATAGTCATTAGCATATTCATACGGGGGAGGAGGCAGGGAGGGGTTTTGCGCTTGTGCACGTGCGCTCAGTTCGCATGTACGAAGAGAATATGCGTGGAATTCGGCGTATGCAGTGTTTCATACATCTGAATTTTTTTACTGTGCACATTTACAGCTTTGTGCGTACGCAATGTTTTAGTATGATTTCAACGCAAGTCTTCGTACATGAGGCCCCTTATATTTTGTTTAAATATTTTGGTTTTTAAGTATAAAAACTATTTGCCTTAATAATGTTGGTAAATTAAAATAAAGTGGTTTAAAAAAATCTTAACATACCTAAATGGATTGTTAAAAAAAATCAATAATTATTGATACTGATATCGTGATCTTTTTTTTTTTTTTTTGCAATATCGCCCAGCCCTATTCATTCATAGACCATAAAAAGCAACATTTTCTGAGTGAAACAAATATTGTCTTGAGGAAACCAGGCTTCACTCATCACCTGGCCAACACTATCCCTGCAGTAAAGTATGGTGATACAGAATCAGCTGTGGGCATGTCTTTCAGTAGGAGGACTAAATGGCAAGATTAAGAGAAAGACGAATCCAGAAAAGTACAGAGATGAAAATCTGCACTCTGAACCTCAGTCTAAGGTGACGATTATCTTTCAACAGGACAACAGCCCTGAATACACAGTTAATAACAAAGGAACTCTGTGAATGACCTTGAGTGGCCTAAACTCCAGTGCAGTTTCAGATCCCGCCCTAACCCTATAAAATCAGGAAATCTTGAGAGAAATCGAAAGTAAAGATCAGTGTTGGGTGTGTTGTGTCATTGTCTCTGTGTGTGTGAGCAGTAAAATGGCTAAATTCAGATTTTCTGTAGCACAGGATGAGTTCAGCTGTGCGGTGTGTTTGGATCTCCTGAAGGATCCAGTCTCCATTCCTGTGGACACAGTTACTGTATGAGCTGCATCACAGACTGCTGGAATCAGGAGGATCAGAAGAGAGTCTACAGCTGCCCTCAGTGCAGACAGACCTTCAGCCCCAGACCCGCTTTAGCTAAAAACACCATGCTGGCTGAAGTGCTGGAGAAACTGCAGAAGAGCAAACTACAAGCTGCTGGTCCTGCTCAGAGTCCCGCTGCATCTGGAGATGTGGAGTGTGACGTCTGTACTGGAGCCAAAAACAGAGCCGTCAAGTCCTGTCTGGTGTGTCTGAACTCTTACTGTCACACTCATTTCCAGCGCCATCAAGAACTGAATCCAGAAAATCGACACAAAGGGCCCTATCATACACCCGGCACAATGGGGCGCAAGGCGCAGCGCAATACTTGTTTGCTAGTTTCAGCTTTCATTAGACCAAAACAAACCCGGTCTAAACTCCGGCACAGAGTTGCGCCTCGCTTACACACTGCTTAATACGCACAAGAAAGCAATAGGCAAATATCTTTACATATGAAAAAGTTTTTATATTAAGGATATATATAGGATATAAATATAAAGGATTAAAATATTACAAAACATATTATTTTCTAGCCTACATAAATATGAAAAATCACTGCTTTTATGTCTTCTTCATCTCGGGAGGCTTTTTCAGTTCATTCATAACAATTTGCTTTTGTATAATGTTATTATTATTAGCAGTATTATTTATTATATCCATATTTATATTTGTTTAATTAAAAACAAGCTTAGATTTTCCCACCTTTCAGGTTTTAGACCATATGGGGCACAGCATGTGTTTTAGGATATAACTCAGGTTTTTGAGCACACTTCGTTAATATTCATTTATTCGTTTGTTGGAAATTAGAACTGAATTTAGAAATAGTTTTGAAACGAATATTTGCGCTTAACAAACGTAATTAAGTATTTATAGACTAATTGATGTCTGTGCGTAAAGGTTTCCCTATCCAAGTAGATCCATTATCTCTCATTCTCATGCTCTGTTTAACTGTTTTCTGTTAAAAAACCTGTTAACTGTTTGCTAGTGAAATGCTCATTTTTTTCCACTTAGACTTACTTTGCGTCCTGTAAAAAAATAATAATAAGCAGAAAGAGCATAGTAATAATGGGCTTTGCCTATGGCAAACCCCATTAATAATAACACTATTGAACATTTATTTATTGGTTCATTTTTCTTTGACATAGTCCCTTATTTATCAGAGGTCACCACAGCAAAATGAACCGCTAACTTATCTAGCATATGTTTTACACAGTGGATGCCCTTCCAGCTGCAACCCAGTACTGAGAAACACCCATACACACTACTTCTCTCTCTCACACACACACAGACACACACACTCGCACACTCATACACTACAGCCAATTTAGTTCATCAATTCCCCTATGTGTTTGGACTGTGGGGGAAACCGGAAGAGCACTACGCCAACACAGGGAGAACATGCAAACTCCACAAAGAAAAGCCAACTGACCCGGCCGGGGCTCAAACCAGCGACCTTCTTGCTGTGAGGTGACAGTGTTAACCACTGAGCCACCGTGCTGCTCACTGTGATTTTTAATCCTGCATGTTTATTAATATGATGATGCAGCAAAAAAAAAAATTTGTGAACTTTTTTTTTTTATTTGAAATCGTTGTAATATTATATTTTTAAAAAGAGTTCTTGTCTTTTTTGATGAAATGTGTGGTTGTTGAAACAGTTATATGTGCTAAAATATGTACTCAACATGAAATATCCCTGAAGTGTTTGTATTGCAATAGCGTGTTTATGT